GTTAGTGTTGAAAAAAATTATTTTCATCTCAATTTTTAGGAAAATCATTCCTTTTTTTTTAGAATAAATCATAATATATATCTTTTTAGTTGATTGGGTCAAACATCGAAGACTTTTTTTATTTTTCTTCCTTGTCTTTTTTTCTAAAAAGCTCTTTCATCAGACCCAAAACTTTAAATACACAACTTTGTTGTGCACAATATAACATTTAATTAGGCTTAATTTTGTAAAACATGTATATATAAGTTTATGTTATAAAATTAATGAAAATATGTAAAAAATTTTATCATGACATTTAATTTTAATTAAAACATTTTTCTTGGTTAAATTAAATGACGTGTTCCCTAACACCTTTATTGAATGATACCAAATATTTTCTTTATATCAAACAACTATCTAGTATCACAATCAATACAATTTTGGATTTCTAAAAAGTAATATTCTAAGAGATAAATGTGATATCACTTACTCTCCCATTGAAGCTTGAGTAGCTTTGGAAAACTGGAACGACAATAGTAATAGGTGAGAGTTCAAGAGCTTGTGAAATGTTGAATTCAAAGAAAGTAGATTCAAAGCTTGAAAGTAGATGAGGTACAATGGTAGCCACTTTGTATCCCCGGACATTAATCTAACACAGACGAAAGAGATCAAAATAGTATTATATATAATTATAATAAACAGTAACACAAACCAAAAGAATACTATACATAATTATAAAAAACAGTAACACAAACCTAAAGACTATTATAAAATTATAATAAACACAAATCAAATATGGTGTAGAAAATGGGTTTACACCATTTTGGTGTTGAACATTTTTTATTTATAAAAAGATCCTTCAAATTTTAATCAACTTTAGAATTAATAAAAACATATACAAATTGTGATATTTAAACCCAAAATCTAATATGTTTGATAATAATTAAACAAAAACTTAATATATTTTGTTATTTTATATGTTACAATGTATTTTTTTATATAATAAATGTTAAATTTAATTTATTTCATAATTTTTTAAATTTTAAAAAATAAATGAGGTTGACTTGTAAATTTTAAAGAATTGAAAAAGAGAATCTATTAAGAATATTCTATTTCGATGTAAAAATTGGTGTAAACCATTGGAGCAAAATCCAACACCATTTTGGTGTAAAAAAATGGTGTAAACCATTGGAGATGCTATGAATGTTTGAA